CCCCCCCCCCCCCCCCCCCCATTAAAGTTATTTTCTTTTCTCTTTTAATTAATTTTCGTCATTTGTTTTTTCACGTAATTTAAAAAGGTTAAATTGTTAAGTTAAAATTTATGGAGTAAAAAGAATCAAATATGGACTACCCTGTCTACCCCACTTCTTTTAAAACAAAAAATTTGTGGATTATTTACCTCCGATCCGTTTCTTTTCTTCTCATTGTTGCCATAAAATTCATCATTATATTTCTTTTTTAAAATCTCAAAGAAAAAAAACCTTATATTTTCGTACTTTATATTTCATTTTGTTAATGATTACGTAGTACCATTTACTTGGCTACCAACAAGGAAACAATTCCCTCTCGTCTAAAGAGATTTTAAGAGTATATATGCATGTAACTTTAATTTTTTTAAAATTTTTTTTTATTAAATTTCGTGAAAATTAAAATGATTGGAATTTCATGGGAAGGAGGGAATAACAATAAACATTAATTCCATAAAAAAACAATACACATTAATTGTTCTATTATTACTTCATCCGTCCCAATTTAAATTGTATATTTCGTTTAACTGAAGTAATTTTCAGGACAATTTATTTGTGAATTAGGATGAAGCTAAAACATTGAATTTGCATATTCTTATGCATTCTTGTTGCACAAACACTTCATTACGGCGAGATCAGATATGTGTGTGATCTTATTTTGAGTTTTTAACCCAATCATAAGCCCTTCCTTCCTGAGAATGAAAGAAAGGAGTAAAAAGACAATAGAATGAAAGATTAATTATTTGATCAAATTAAATAGAACGATTATTCCAGATATATATGCACGCATAGATTGATAATATGCTGCCTTAATTACCTTTTTGCTACGTAATAAATTGTACTCTAAATTGAACTTTCTTCGCAAAGTTTAATTAGGTACATACGAGTAACAAAAAATACACCATGATTCCGAAAAAAGAAACTAAAAAAAATGATAATGTGAGTTCAAAAATGGCTCACAAAAGTGTTATTTCAAAAAAATAATTAAAATTGAGAAAAATTTGAAGGATAAATAAATGAAAGAATATTATAAGTACAAAATATAAATCAATATTAATAATCTCTCAATTAATCTCCATCGTCACGCCGGCCGGCGACTTAGCTTCATTCTCCGGGGAAAGCCGGAACCAGCGAAATTCTTTTCTCCGACGGGGAGGGCAGAGTTCGTCCCAGGATTAGGCGTCGGAGACGGGACCGGCTTCCACAGAGATTGTAGCCAGAACGGACCTCGTTGCAGCCTCGTTATCAGTAGCTTCTCCACGGCGGCGAAGCTCTTCTCGCCCAGAGTAGCCGCCTCCGCCTCCGCCGCCGCCACGGGGGCGTTGTTCGTACCGGGATTGGGCCGCGGAGGAGTAACGTTTTTCCATTGGAGAGACGGCAAGAGAAGAAGATCATCATTATTATGTTGAGTATCATATAATGACGATATTCTGGCTGCTTCGACTTCAAGTATGGGATTATTATTATTGATACTTATTATTAGTAGTAAAACATAAACAAATTTGGAAACTATAGTAGTACGACAAGGCTGAGGACCATAAGGTTTCATTATTAATTATTATTGTCGGATCGCTTGTTCCTGTAATTAATGATAAATTAATTAATTACACGATCAATTGTTGTGGGCTTAGCTTGCATGTGTTAAAGTGAAAGAAAGAGGCCGGGGGGCTTATTTATAAGTAAGCTTTCGGCCTATATAATATTCATACCTTGACGGTCGCACTTTGACTGTTTGATATATTATGTTTCAATTTAAATCGTCTGTTTCAGTTTACGATATTTGATTGAAATTATTTTATATGAAAAATGATGTAAATAATAAATTTGAATTGGTGAATTCAAATTCTTTAGAATTGAATCCCATGTAATTTTAATTCTAATTAAATTCCAAGTCCATATATATACCAAACGAACCCTTATAGTATTTCGTACAATGAAGTTATTGGTTCCTAATTTTCATTGGAAAAGCTATTTTAATTTTGTCAAAATCACTACACATGATATGCATGCATGCATGCACTCTAGGGTTGAATATAAATAGAAAAGTCAAAAGTAAAAAAAAAATTGAAATTGCTGCGAAATTGAGAGCGTGCATGATGTTTGAATCCTTTCATCATCAGGAATTTCAAACTTCAAAGTGACTATATGCCCATACACGACATTTCATTTAGGCGACATGACAATAACAATAATAATAATATTAATATTAATTCTGGTATCATTAATTATGGTAGTGTTTGATTATTAATCAATATCATATGCTTATTTATGGTAAATGATGTGTTTTAGTTAAATTAGTTTTCATTCTTTATTTCTAGTTGTGTTAATAGTTTCCCCTATCTATACTCTATCATTTACATCATAATTTAATGAGTAATATTATTATTATAATATTCCAACATACATAATTGTTGTATGTATATGTTCGTGATATATTTTCACAAATATAAATTTTTCTATTTTTCTATTAAAAGCTACTAGCTTAGTTCTTAATCTATCTATAACATCTTATCTTTTTACCAATAATCTATCATCACATTCTACTTTTATCCATTACATTAAAGATATTTTTGAAAAGTCAGTACAAAAATATCTTTACTTTAAATTTACTAATAAAAATCAAATAGAAACATCTTTATTAAACGGAGGAAGTACATGATATACAATTTTGGGTGCAAACATTATTTCCTCTTTATAATGTTCTCTCCTCTCGTTTTTAATTTTCACAGTTTTGACATGCTTTTTTTAGATAATAATGTGCATTTAATTATTTATTATGTCTTATAAAATGTTTCCACATTATAAAAAAGTAGCTATATTTAAAGAATGTGTAAGTTTGTCTTAGTTTGTCTTAATTTATTGTAGGACATAATATAATGTGATGAATAAATTAATAGTAAATGGATATGATGTGATATGCAGGTTATATATATATATATATATATATATATATATACTAGCATTGCTCCGTGCGATGCACGGATTCACGTGCCCGATTAAAGTTTAGTGTTATATACTACTCCGTATTATATATGAACTTTTCTCATGTATTTTTTTATGTGTCTTTGTTTTGTATTGTTCAAAGTGTAGCATACTGATTTTGAGTTAGTAAGTTTTTACTCTACAAATACATATGTGGTGTCAAAAATATCAATAACCATCCTCAATATGTTTAATGAAATAAACTGAATAAAATAAAAATATATGGAGTGGTGGGTTTTAACATTTTACAAACTATACTGGGAATTAATGTACAACTTCTTCTTATTTTTAGGAGAAATAGTATAGAATAATCCCAAATTTACCTGTTCTTTTAAAAAATAAGTATTATTGCATTAATAATATGTATAGTGCGTAAAATATTAGAACCCTCCACACCTTATATTTTTATTTTATTCCTTACCCGTTTTAAATTAATTTCGTTGATTACCTTATATTCTATTGATTACCTTATTTATTTCATTAATTTTGTATTGTCTGAGTTAATTTTTTCTCATTTTCGTTATTTTGTATATCTATTTTTTATTTTTTTATAAGGTAATATTAATCTTTTAAAAAAAAAGAGAAATAGATTTTGAGATTTTTTTAATGACTTGATAAAGTTGGGATTACTTTGAATAATTTTTATAATGATAATAATAATATTTTACAATTGTGGTTTATAGGCTATATAACATCTTCGTAATTGTGAATTAGAGAATGAAGGGATTAAATATAACTAACGGTGTTAAGGGCTTTTTGGGGTATAAATTGCATGGTACAAGTTTTAAAGCTAATGGTACATGTTTTATGGATGGAAAAGGTGCATAATATTAAGGGGTACCTAACCCTCTTTCACACACACACACAGATATATATATATATATATATATATATACTCTTTCGTTCAACACTAATGTTCTCATTTACTATTCATATGGTCAAACTTCATTTATTTTGTTGGCGTATTTTGTTTGCCCATATGGCTAGCAGTACCAGAATAACTTGTAGCAAAACAATATTTTATGCAAGTGGTGTTTTAGAATATGATATCTAAAGGCCATAATTAAAATTTAAAAAATAAAAAAAAATCAAAAAATGTGACGATTTTTTAATTCGATCTAACTTTGTAAAATGCACCACATACTTTATAAAATGCACTATAGTGACCTATTAAAATATTAGTCCGGTTCTATAGCCACTAAGTTTCATGACAAACTAGAAATGCATCATTCTTATGTTTTAAATTACTCCCTCCGTCCCCCTAAGATGTTCTCATTTTGACTTTTGGTGGTTTTTAAGGAGAGTTGAAAAAAGGTGAAAGTTTACCATAATACCCTTAATGAAATATGAGTGGAGTGTATTAAATGAGGTGGGTGAGGTGTAATAA